AAAAATGATAGCCACAAATTTGAAGGTTTTAAGATATTGCAAACCAAAGCTGAAATTTTCCAATTAATGGATTTTTGTAAAGAAATGTGGAGCAGCAGTAATAAATGAAGATAATATACAGTCAAAAGTTGTTAATCCGGATTCATCGGGACTTCGGCGATTCCGGTTAATCGATTTTTCCGGATTATAGATCATTAGTTTAAATCTGGTAAGATGGCATGCAGAAGTTATAAAATTAAAAATATGAAACCATAATTTATAAAATAAAGAACAATTATGATCTAAAGGGTATCAAAATTTACAAAAAGAAAAAGCTTAATATTTATTTGTTTACTTTATTAAACATTTCTTTCAATGCAAGTTGTTTCGTTTTATGTGATAATACTTTAATTTTGTAAACAGACATAATTTCTTGTTCAGTTACAAAGTTCCGCTGTTCAAATCCTATAATTGCTGTGTTGAGAATACCGACTAATTTGTCAATTGAAATTTTTTCTTTTTCAATAACCTCTGTGTCACGTTCTTCACTATCGGAAGCAAATTAAAATGACGAGGAATTTGATTTAAATCTTATCAAAGACGGAATACATCGAGATGAAATATTACATTTAGTAAAGAATTATAAGCCAAATAAAATGAAAACATCTGCCCTGAAGATAAGGATAATGCTGACAGATCAACTTCCAATTCATTGCGCGTCGCTGCGTCTCCCCCTCCCCTCCCGTCGCAGAGCAGCGTGAAATTCATAAACAGATTTCAGAATGGTTAGGTCACTTTTTGCAGCAATTCCACTTTTGTTTAATGGACTTTGAAACATACTTTGTAGATCCTTTACATACTAGTAAATATATATCGGAAATTCTATTTGACATAATCGAAAGTTCAAGCTTACTTGTATAAAATTGCTCTAACAGTCTGCAAAAAATAATAAGCCGGATCCAATTCGAAGATTAAGGAACAATGCAATTTGCAACATTAACTGAATTAGATAATTTTAGCTTAGCTTATACCATCCGTTATACATTAAACGCGCATGCGTAAACGTATTTTGGGCATGCGCACACGCACATTCGCAGCCGTAAAGGTCTTACATGCATGCGTCAACGAGATGCATGCACAGAAAGTTTGTAGCTTTGAGGTCCAGATCATTTCGGATTATGGGGGTCCGAATTAATGACTTTTGACTGTAATAGAAATTTTTCATTGTGATGACAATACCCCAATCATTAATTAATTAATGAACATTGCTATCTGTAGTTTGGCTTTAGATCCTTAAAAATACCACTATTGATAGTGAAGAAAGGGACAGAGAGGTTAATAAAAACGAAAAAATTTCAATTCACAAGTTAGTCGGAATTCTCGACACAGCAATTACAGAACTTTGTAACTGAACAAGAAATTATATGCATCTATAGAAGGAAGAGATAAAGTTTTAGCATAAAAAATGAAGCAACTTTATTGAAAGACATGTTTAATAAAATAAACAAACAAATATTAAGCTTTTTTTTATAAATTTTGATACCCTTTAGATCATAAATGTTTCATTATTTCATAAATCACTATATCATATTTTTGATTTTATAATTTCTACATGCCATCTTACTAGATTTAAACTGATGATCTAATATCTGGAAAAATCTCAAATCCAGAATTGTCAAAGTCCAGGTCTCTGACTTTGTACTGTAAAAAGACACGAAGCAAGAGAACTTGGTGATGTTAAGATCACAATGAATGACAAAAAGTCTAGCATTGAACCTTTAAAAACTGGGTCATTATGCCATGTAAAAAAAAAAAAAAAAACCAACTTCAATTCTGAGATGTTACTGATTTTAAATACATTCAATTTTTAAGAGTTTTTCACTTAGAAGAAAAAAGTATCTTAAAAACCATAGAAATATAGTGGTAGAAATTGGCGGAAAACATTGCTTGTTTTGTGGTTTAGATGGTAAAATGTGGTAGAATTAATTTGAAATTTCTCTACGATTTGGAATGAAAGGGAAAAAGTGCATTAATTGACTGGTGTGTAAATGAAGGTTTACTTAGTAGCCATTATAATGTCCCGTTTGTAGGAAGGAATTGCGTATGGTTGAACGTCGGAGGATATCTGCACTATGGAGGATACTTTTTACTCTTACTTTTGTGAATTTATGTTCAACACTGATATACAGATTCTAATTCAGATAATTTTAGGATGTTTTTGGATGCTTTTAAGGAATTTTATGTGCCACAGACTGAAGGACTCAGAAATTTCTAAATAAGGTAAGTGGATATTTGCTTCGTATAGCGCTTAAATGCATAAGATGAATTTCCTTTTTTTATTGTTTTATTTTATGTTATTTTATTGTTTCGACTTAAAATGTAGTTTATTGAGATTATATATTTTTTGTTTGGCTTTACTGTAAGACTGGGTGCTCCTTTGACTTTTTAAGTGAAAATTGATCGATGTGTACATGGACAAAGGGACAGGAGTGCGCAAAGAAAAGTTTGTGCAATTCTTTGATTTTTTTGTGTGAATATAGGTCGATGTGCACAAAGATACTGAGTTTGTACAATTCTTAGACTTGTTATTTTGTCTTAGTGTAGTGGCAATTTTTGCTCCAAAAATCACCGCTACACAAAGCCAAAATGACAAGTCAAAGAATTGCACAAAGTATCCATGTACCGCCAAAAATCGCGATGCCGCAGCGCGCAATGAATTGGAAGTTGATCTGTCAGCACTATCCTTATCTTCAGGGCAGATGTTTTTATGTTATTTGGCTTGTAATTTCTTACTGAATGTAGTATTTTATCTTGATGTACTCCGTCTTTGATATGATTTAAATCAAATTCCTCAAATTGATTTAAATAAAATGATTTAAATTATAATTCGCTTCTGATAGTGAAGAAAGTGACACAGAGGTTATTGAAAACGAAAAAATTTCGATTGACAAATTAGTCGTTATTCTTGACACAGCAATTATAGGACTTGAACAGCGGAACTTTGTAACTGAACAAGAAATTATGTCTGTTTATAGAATTAAAGAGAAAGTATTATCAGATAAAACGAAGCAACTTAAACATTGAAAGAAATCTTTAATAAAGTAAACAAATAAATATTAAGCCTTTTTTTTTTTTTTGTAAATTTTGATACCTTTTAGATCATAATTGTTCTTTAATTCATAAATTACGATTTCATATATTTAATTTTATAACTTCTGCATGCCATCTTACCAGATTTAAACTGATGATCTATAATCCGGAATCGCCAAAGTCCCGATGAGTTCGGAGTAGCGACTTTTGACTGTATGGACTAATCATTTATCTTTGTCAAATTTAAAAGTGCAAGCAAATGTGCTATAAAATTTTGCTTAACACTTCATTTAATTTATTGACACAAGCACAACTGTCTTTTTACACTTCAGGTTTTATGTGAAATTGCTTTGATCCACTGTGATTTTTCGAGTGCAATACAAACCAAAATGCCTTTTATTTAGTGATAAATTAAACCTTCTTTGCAAATGTTGAGGTTATTTGAATATGGAAAAGCCCACAAGAGCTATCTGCTTAAGAGAAAAGATGTCTTCGTAGGTGATTTTTTAAGGAAAATTACTTTATATTCACTTTATTTACACATGGGAAAAAATATGAAAATCAACCATTCCGCCAGGCTGTTATCTTGGAATCGAATTCCTGGCATTCAGTGGTCTTAACCACTTGTAGGGTATATGTTTTTTGATTAATATCTAATATTAATATATTTTTAAACAAATATAATATACATTATTTAAGATCAAGAAAAAGAACACAAAATGGAATAGAAAAACAATGCAATCAAGTGCAGTGTCGGGCAGAAAAAAAACTTTTACTAAGAATCAAAATACAGTCAAAAGTTGTTAATTCGGACACCCATAATTCGGAATGATATATAATCCGGACATCAAAACTAAAAACTTTCTGTGCATGCGCCGCGTTGACACATGCGCAGAGGCGTTCATGCGTGCGCGTAAGACCTTTTACGACTGCGCATATGAGTGTGCGCAAGTGCAGAATACGTTTTTGCGCGCGCATTTTATGTATAATGGACGTATAAGCTAAATAATTATCTATTTCAGTTAATGTTGATGATTGCGTTGTTCCTTAATTTTCGAATTGCATCCGGCATATTATTTTTTGCAGACTGTAAGAGCAATTTTATAAAAGTAAGCTTAAACTTTCGATTATATCAAATAGAATTTTCGATATATATTTGTTAATATGTAAAGGATCTAAAGCGAAAGTATGTTTTGAAATCCGAAATTTGTTTATCAATTTCACGCTGCTCGGCGGCGGGCGCGTAATGAATTGGAAGTTGATTTGTCAGCACTATCCTTATCTTCAGCGCAGATGTTTTTATTTTATTTGGCTTATAATTCCTTACCAAATGTAGTATTTCATCTCGATATGCTTCGTCTTTGATATGATTTAAAACAAGTTCCTCGTCATTATAATTCGCTTCCGATAGCGAAGAAAAGTGACAGAGGTTATTGAAAACGAAAAATTTCGATTGACAAATTAGTCGGTGTTCTCAACACAGCAATTATAGGACTTGAACGGCGGAACTTTGTAACGGAACAAGAAATTATGTCTGTTTAATAGAATTAAAGAGAAAGTATCATCACATGAAACGAAGCAAAACTTAAACAACTTACATTGAAAGAAATGTTTAATAAAGTAAACAAATAAATATTAAGCTTTTTCTTTTTGCAAATTTTGATACCCTTTAGATCATAATTGTTCTTTATTTCATAAATTACGGTTTCATATTTTTAATTTTAGAATTTCTGCATGCCATCTTACGAGATTTAAACTGATGATCTATAATCCGGAAAAAATCAATAATCCGGAATCGCCGAAGTCCCGACGAGTCCGGATTAACGACTTTTGACTGTATGTAATAGGGAAATATACATGTATGTTTAATGAATGAAATAATTACTAAGCAACAAGTATAATAAATTAAATATACATCAATAAAAATTAACCTGGAGAGCAAAATATCCATTTAATGTTGTTTTCTGAGTTGTAGTTAAATCTATAGGAAGAGCCGAGACACCGATTTCTTCCAAATCTGCAGTAAGCCACTGTTGATACACATAATTTTTCAATGCTTGTAATGATAAAGATTGACCCTATAAGATTACAAATTCTGATAATGTTGTAAATCACAATTCAAGACACTTATGTATATTACAAAAAGTATAAAAAAATTGGGGTTGATCTTTACAATATGGTAACTGGTAGTTTGGCGACATTTTGGAGGCGATAAAGGTTACTACCTGGAACTTTGGTAATAATGTGAGCAGTACTCAGTTCCGATTACGCATTATTTTGTGTGAGGGAAATGAGAGATCATGGGATATGTCATGTGATATTAATGGACGAATTACGGTTCTTGAATCGGAAAATGGGGGAAATCGGGAAAAAATCTGGAAATTTTGTATTTGGTTTATTCTGTGTTGTGTGAAACAGTGTTCGTGAATTTTTGGATCCCATGGCCGTAACTAAAGAAAAGTTTATCGGACACGTAATCAAGATTCTGAAGAAGATTAGGTAAGTTAGTATTTTTAATTATTTGAGGATAATTAATTTTATGCATTGTTCTAAATGTAAGGTAGAAGTAAAGGAATTTGGTATTATTGGGAAAATTGTTATTAGCAATGATTTAGTTTAAAGTATTAGGATTGTAAGGTAATTTTTATTAATTTAATGTATGTGCTCATTTATATTTTAAGTAGTGTTTTTGATTTAATTATATTTAATTAAATGATAGTTATTTTGTGAATTTTATGTTTGTAGGAATTCGGTATACGTTTCAGTTGAAGTAAACGTGCATGGAAATAATTTAAATATTTGATACTAAGTATTTGTAATGCTTGCGGTATGAATTCGTTGGTGACGTGTATAATGTAATAGATGATTTAGAGGTAAAAGTTTTTGGATATTTTATTTATTTTATATGTGGAAATGTTCATATTTGGAAAGGGTAAATACTTTTTCGTGATCAGGTAATTTCATATATGTTCTTTTTACCGGGCTTAAAGATTGAGAAAATTGTCATGTATTTTCGTGAAATTTTTGTAATTTATGAGAAAAAAGCAGTGTACATGGATATAGTAAAGAGTGTGCGCAATGCCATTTTTGTGCAATTCTGGGATGTTTTTTTAAGTAAAAATAAGTCGGCATGTACATGGTTTATGTGTATGTGTTATTTTGAAAAACGCGTAAGGAGTATGGTACTGTGCACTTTTTCCCAATTTTGCAGTGAATATTTCTCATGATTAAGCAGTTTTGTTAGATAAAATTTCTAGCATAAGTGTAATTCGGCTAGTAGATTGTTGGAAGAAGTGTTCAGTAGATAAAAAGAAAAGAAACATGTCTTTACTTCGTGAAGACAAAATGGCGGCGGGGAAAAAAAATAGAGGGTTGCTGTAGGAGAGTTGGTCGCCAAATTTTCGCCAAAAAAACGCCAAGTTACCATAATGTAAAGATCAACCAAAATTGGTACTATTCAGTTTCAAGGGCCATAAAAAATTGCCAAACTATTGTTGATGCCAATGCTGCCGAAAATAATTGCGGCAAGAAAGGAAGTATAATAGTAAATAACTATTTAAGATTGATGTTTTAATTTAGATGAAAGGTTAATTTCATATAATACTGATTTATATAAAAAAGGCTAAAGATGACTGAATGGAAGCATAAGAGTAAATAAATATTTCAGATCATTATTATAATTTAATATAAAAATTGCTAAACATAACTTAATGGATGCCTGCATCGCTATTTCGCTACCGACTTATCGCTAAAGCATAATTTCATCTTGTTGGTTGTTCAAACGTAATTTTCGATAATGAATGATGACATTTCTTTGAAAATATTCTCGGTAAAATGCAGAATCGCTGACTTATTTGTTCGCTGCCTTTTACAAGGGTAAAAACAATTGAATTTTTGTCAATTTTCTTTTACTTTTTAAGTGAAAATAGAGTTTTTAAAATCAAAAAAGGATTTAATAATTAAACTAGTATTTCAATAGTGTCTTAGGAAATAGAGAACTATATAAACTTACGCAATCTGAAATCAGCGCGTACGTTAGATTTGGCGTGCTGTTTTAAATGGGCGCGTTTGATACATTTGGTGCTTTTGCGCATACATTTTTGCTTCAATTTTTTTACAGCCCTCGAAACCAAATAGTACCCAAAAATTTTAAGCATAGAAAATGGCAATACAAAATACATTCACAAGAATATACTTACTGCATATTCTTGTTTTAAGAAAGCAATGCAAGCTTCAACCCATTCTAATGATACAGTAATATGCTGCTGTGTCAACCAGTTCTTTACATCCAGGGTTTCAACATGTGAAGTAGACATGTTACACGAATGTATACACTAAAATGATCATGCTTGTATTATAAAATTAAAGCTAGGTCCAACACCAGATACTCTTAAATATGAAAAATATATTATATAATAAAATGATCACAGAATAATAAAATATATTAAAGTATTCGGTTATTCATTATAAATAATAGTATTATACATTAAAGGTAATATCATCATTACTTTTGAGTTATCTTATATTACATATGTATACACACCCAATTTAACACGCTCATGTATGGAACGAACGAGATACATACTGTTATATAAAGTTGTTGTATGTAAATGTTTTCGTTTTCCGCGCTTATTCAGAAACTAAGATACCCGTTACGGTTATGTGTATTTTGAGATTTATAAAATCACAAATACTCCGTGGTTTTATGTATATAAATCATCATTGTGTGTCATCATCACCCGACAACTGTATGAAGATTATATTTTTAGAACTATGGACAATCGAAGCATCAGCTAGCGAAGTAGCGTCTTTGGTAACGTCTTCACAGCATGAGAGGTACAAGCAAAAAAACGTGTACAAAGACAGACAGACAAAGTAGACATATGTCGTTTGTTGCAACCGCTACGTCTTTCTGCACCGATGGGCGAAAAATCAAGCATAGGTGCGAAGGAAAGGTATATATAGAAAGGGGGGCAATTTCGTATTTCAGAGGACAGTAGAAAGGAACTTCGTATATTTTATACGAGTTCGAAAGGCCAGGAAGAAAAGATGGGGCAAAATAAAGTAAAAAATAAATGGCCCAAAAATAATGGAGAGGAAAAAAAAATTATATTTATAATTTAAAAAAAAAAGGGCCTATAGAAAGAAAAGGAAAGGAAATGGGAGAATTTTGTTAAAAAAAAAAAAAAAAAAAACCACGATTGTGTCCATGAGTGTAGTCAAAGGAAGTTGTTATCATTTACATTAAATAGAGTGTTCCAGGTGTGTGTAATTAGTGTGTTTTGTAAAGCTGAATAGATGTGAAGATGGGGGAAAATTAATAATAAAATATAAATATTGAGGGTTCAGTCACATAACAGTCTATTTTAGAAGCTAACTTTTGCTATAACAGGGAACTAAAATTTAAAAATTTTAAATTAAACTTTTATTTTTAACATGGGAAACAATATGTTAGCCTCTACCTTGAGACACAGTAACAGAAGACACATAAGATCAAGATGCATATAATATCATGCAAATTATACATTACTTAAGTAATCATCATTGCGGTTTCCAACGTATTCATATACTCAAAAACACCATCAGATAAAATCATAAATCTAAAACAAGGCGAGAACACTCACAAAATAAATAAGTAATAAATTACAGAGTTTTTTATCTTAATATTATGAATTTTTAAAAAAATAAGCATTTTTTTATTTTAAGTTAATGGTCATAATTTATTATATGTGTACTATTTTATCAATTTGAGGCACACTGTATTAATATATGGTTTTAATTTAAATAGATAGGAAATATAGATTAAAGGAGCAAAAACTACAAATCTATACATTCATTGAGGCCCAAGATCCTGTTTTTTCCCTCTCGAGAAATTCCTCAAGGGGGCCGCAATGGGTAGCGCTAAAAGACTACACTACTGATAAGGGCTACTGATAAGGATAGCGTCCCTACGAGATGGTAACCAAAAAACAAAAACAAAAAAAGGAACCACATGATTTAAAGCAATTATTAAGTATTTACTTCCAGAACATAATAAAATGAGCATAATAAAAATGATCATAATAAGTAAATGAATTTAAAGGTACTTTAGTGGCAGATATTTGATTTAGCTTAGAGAAAAGAATTTCTACTTATCTGAATGTTCAGTCTTGGTGTTGTAAAAGATTGCAAGGAAGATAAGACCTTCAGGAGAACTTTCGGTTTTGAGAACGAGACAATGTAAAGGATATTCGCGATTTTTTTTTTTAAATAAATGGATATTTTGTGAAAAACATCTTTGAAAATTTAGGAGCTCTTCTAAGATCCTGCCTCCATCATACGTGATCCCAGCGCCTCCAAATGTGTGCGAAAATTCCGGTGAAATATTTCCGGTGATGACGGTTTAGGTTGCTAAAGTTGCATTTCTTGAAATTTGACAGCCTTACGCAAGTCATAAATGATAAATTGATCTAGAAATAATTTAGCCCAGAAAAGGACATTACTATTTTTAGGGGGGGGATTTGCTTAACTTAATTATAAAGCTAATTTATGTATTTTTTTTATCTTGCATATATTATCTTATTTAAATTGAAAAAAAAATATATGTAATAAGGACAAGAAAGAAAACCGAAAACAAAAGCTTTAAAATTAATGATTTTAAAATTTATTTAAAAAGTAAAATCCTGTGCTCTTACTGGAAAGATTAAATTTAGTTTAATAGAGAATATATAAATGAAAATTATCTTCTACGAAATTTGAAATGAAATTTGTGTACTAAATTGTAAATCATTACATGGAATTTGTGAGCAATTAAACTAGGATTTCCACCCCATCTTTTCAGTGGATGTCAGTTGAGAATAAAGATAATTGAAAATTGAGACAGTAGTCTGAACGGTTATAATTTTCTAACTGCAACTGTTGTCAAAATTTGATTTGGCGGTACGTTTATATTGATGCTATTGAATGCAGGATTATTTAATATTACGGACAATTAATTTTAAGAGTTGAGTAACAAAATGTAAGTTATGGAAAAAGAAGGGTAATCTATCGTTGCACACAGACACCTACACTCGGATGCAATCCCAACAGAATTTGTAGTAGCAGTAAGTAGTTCTATAAAAATTTTGAGCCGCACTTCATTTTACTTCGTCGTACGACTTTATGCATTTTATTTATTTATTTTGTTTCACGAAGTCCATATTATTGCCAGTTCTTCAATGCGAAAGCCAGCTTACTTTTTACCGCATTTTTTTATTTATTCTTATAAGTGATCAAACCACAATGATTCTTGAACTATTTCCAGTTGACATCTGACTGGAAAATAAGCAGCAGTATTGTTTTGTGTGTTTTTATTACTAATGAAAGAATTTAATTATGTTTTTGAATCACCTGTATTCTCAAGCTTAATCTCTAACATAACTTTATTTTTCATACTATTCTTGCATTAAAAAGTTAAAAATGCTTTGTACATTATCTTAAATTGTACAGTTTTAACAAATATTAAAAATAATAAAAAAGTTTTTGAAGGAATTAAATACATATATATATATATAGGAAAATAGCATTGCCAAACATTAAATATATTATTCTGAATACCTGGGAAACCATTTCGACCATTCTAATCTTTGTACGACTTTAATCAGCCAAAATATTAATTAAAAACTCTGAAAACGCCAATTTTTGCACTCATTTTTCCGAATGGTAGCAGTATGACGCGTTGGAGATAAAAATACGCTTACTTTCGAAAAGTGTTGCCTCTGCTTGCTTTCAGATCATAGAGTTTGTTAATAAAAAATTTGCATGTTTTACAAAATATGAAATAAAAATAGCATTGTCAAGCATTAAATGTATAAGGTTATATTCTGATGTTGAAGAAAACACGGAATTGCATGTGATGTCGTATGTCGAAAATGTTTCATTAATGTCAGCATTTTAAATAACTTATAATACCATCTTTTTCCATTCTTACTAATTCCTTTTTTAATGGATTTAATAAGCTAAGTGGAATTTTCCTACAAGGTTCTATTTTACCAACAGCTCCTGGTTTTAATTTAATATGATATGTATATCCAGTTAAATTCCCAGTTCCTTTAAACAAATCTTGATATCCTTTTAAAGATTCTGGTAACTTTTCATTGGAATCAGAATTTACTGTACAAATCCTTTGTATTAGGTTTAATTTTGGCAAATGTAGGTAAACCTAAAATAGCTGGAACAGTTTTTATCACATGCTACAACTTGAAATTCTACTTCATCCTTATCCCCTTTTGATGTTTCACATAATAATTTACATTTTCCGACTACATCAATTGTAGTACCATTGCAGTTATTTAAAGTGACTTTTGATTTAGTCAAACATTTATCTCTTAAATTTAATTGTTTAAATTTAGGCAATGGTAACACATTATACCGAGCTCCAGTATCCAACTTAACAAATAAATATTTAGATATGTTTACTTTTAGTTTTTCAAACCATTCGGTTTTATTTTTAGAAAATGGATTTGTATCTTCTACTGACCCTAAAATATATTCATTACCATTATTATGTAACTCATGCTCTAAATTATTCTGTAGAACATTAACATTTTTTTATAGGTGCACATTTTAGCAAAGAGATTTTTCTTTTTACAGTAGGAGCAAATCTTATTATAAGCAGGACAGTTGTATAACTTATGAAAAGTTCCACATTTTCCACATGGTTTTGGATTATTGTACTTATTTTCTTGATAATTTGAAGAAGATTTAGTACTTTGTTGCTTTTGTTTCACATGATAGTCTTTCTTACAAGGCTGACTTTTTTCCTCTGAAGATCGAAATTTATTACATTTGATAGCTTCTATTTTATTTTCTTCAGTTAAAGTTTTCAGCTGAAGTTCTGCTAATTCAGAAGCTTTACACATTTTAATACATTTCTCCAATGTTAACTGATCTTCCCTTAATAATCTATCTTTGAGATTTTTATTTAGAATTCCACTTACTATTCTTTCCCTTATTAAACTATCTTTTAATTCTGCAAATCCACAGTTGCTACTTAATTTTTTTAAATCGGTTAAAAAATCATTAAACGATTCACCTACATGTTGTGTTCGACAGAAAAATATATGTCTATCAACACTTTCGTTTGCTTTCGGTATGCAAAAATTTTCGAAAGCTTCAATTACTTTGTCAACATCCTTCTTATCTTCTTCACTTAAATTAAAAGTATTAAACTTTTTAAGTGCTTCTTTTCTAATGTGCAATAAAATAGCTACTTTAATTTCAGGTGATTTAGTAATACCACCAGACGCTAATGATAATATAAATTTGGAATTTTTGTTTCCATTTCTTCCAATTTTCGCTTAAATTACCTTCAAAATTTAGATTACTTGGTGGCTTTAATCCATCCATACTTAATTTAAAACTTTAAATAGTTTATATATACGTATTTTTAGCCACTTCCAATAAAAATAAACAACGCACTTACCAGCGATATAAGTTTTGATTTCACTGTAAACAACTTCCCATCATGTTTTTGTTTAGAATATCTTTACCAACGCTGCATGGTTCTTCAGAAAAGATTTTTCTTTTTTAATCTAGGATCGACTCGGCTGCACTATGTGTTGTATTTTATATATGTTGGTTATGTGCTCAGCAATAATTACAAGATGTACACAAAAATCGTTTATTCTACATCATCATCTACTATTCTATATTACAGTTATGATTAAAGATAATAATAGATACAGTTACAGTTACATATATAACAACAATGATTGTGTGCTGATTTTACAGCTCTCCAATTTCATAGTAAATTGCAACTTTAATCTAGCTTGTTTCAAATTAGTTCTCTCTTAATTATAATGAGCCCAAATCCTCTTTCCAGTGTTATGAAATCGAAGCAAATCGGTAATTTCAATGTAGAACCAAATGTAAACAAGTTGGTGACAGTCAAATGTAAAAATATTCACACTTCATCGAAATGCTGCTTTGTGACACAAATTGACACATCCTCAAAGGGTTGTTGCAGTTTCTCCTAGGTAAATATCAATGGAATAATGTTTTTTACAGATGATGTCAATGGAGCCATCTGAGCGATGTAACACAGGGAAACTGAAACTGTTCACCTTAGCCATAGTTGTCTCTAATCGCCACATAATTTTGTTCTAGGTATTCTTCACTGTTTAAAAGTATAGCTGATATGACCCCAGGCAAATGCTAAGCGAGCCCATGCAATAAGACAGCCTTGGAAGCATGTTTGATATAGTACTGTATGAGAAAAGTATCTGATATAAATGTATTTAAGATTAAAATTCATATGTCTTGTAGGACATTTGACTGACATGGCCCCAGTGGATCAGTGAAGTGTCAGTCATGAATGAGCCACAGGAAAGCAATATGTGTTAAGAAGTTAGGAACCAAATCACAACTTAATTTTTTTGCCTCCAAATCAAAACAGATAAGTGCGTGTGTAAATGTTGAATATTCTTTAAATAAAATAACTTAAAAAATATGTTCAATGTAATGTAAAGTAAATTTTATTTTCTAATATTTGTTAATTATAAATAATATAATAAAACTAATTTGTGGTGCAACTTTCTAGATGGAAGTCTCTAACATTTTATCTGGCCTGAAAGAACTTAGTGATTCTGCTGATGTTATTATTGGTGGCTTTATGAAGGAATGTGATCGAGTGGATGAATGGTTTACTTTTGTGAAGAAAGCTGTTATAAATATACAAAATGCGTAAGTTTACTTCCGTATTAAAATACTTTAAATACGAGGGCATTTCGAAAAGTAAAGATACAATGGCTCGCATTCCTTGAAAAAAACATTTATTTAGAAAACGTCTGTTACATCTTATTAACTGGATTATTTATTGTTTTTGGACGTAATCACCCTCGTTATCCAAACATTTGTTGAGACGGTTCACAAGTTTTTGTATCCCACAGTCATAGAAAGTTGCCGCCTGTTGGAACCCAGTGCGCATACAATTTCCTGTACCCTAACTTGACAGTCACAACTTCACAAAGAGTTGTCATTGACACTTCCGGTATGATCTGATGCAATTCTTTCAATTTGAGACGTCTATTCATACAAATTGCTTTCTCTGAAGAAGGGCATCAGAGATCACAGATGGCCGACCTGTTCTTTGTTTGTCATGAACATCGGTCCTACCTTCAGAGAAATGACGACACCATTTCGTTTTATAATGTTCCCATAAACAGAAACAATTTCTTTGTGAATACCCGCTGGTCGCTGACCATTTAGTGGGATTCTGAATCGGTGCAGCCATTTTAAACACGACCTACTCCAACCAGAATCAACGTTGAAATGCCGAATGACTGCAAGGAGAAAGCCAACGGTTCAAGGTTAATACCTGTGTGGCCAACTTGCTCACCAAAACTTTTCTTTTCCTCTGGTGTACGGTGTATCTTTACTTTTCGAAATGTCCTCGTATATTCCATCAACAGTAAATTAGTGCTTTAATCCTCTGTATGAACATTCTACGCACCAACAATTTTTAGATCCAGTTTGAAATATTATATTTACATAGTATTTGTTCCCTTGATTTATATATTGATATACTGTATATTTTGTCATAACTACCATGGTAGATGTTGCCAAAATTTTCAGAATGTACCAAACACTAGCAATTATGTGCATAAAAATTTGATAATAATGTAATATGTGATTTGCCACTCTTAGTTATATTTTAGATGATGCCGCTAAAATTAGTTATTTTTTTATCATTTTTTCCAATGCCATTTCATCACACATTCAAATATGAAAGTTACTGAATATTCTATTTCTTGAAACTATTTTTACAGAATTATGAAATTTTGTATATCACTTCGCAAATGCTTTTGAGTTATCTCACAGAAGCATGATGGAAATCCATTAATAAAAGTTATAATTATTTTTTTCTATGCCACACAGCATTTGTAAAGTATATGGACTCCTGCCCTCCTGCTTCCACTCCTGCTTCTAATATGTAAAATTGGAAAGATTTTTAAATTTAATAGAATTAAAATTTTAGCAGGTTATATATTGTTGGTTGGGTAAAGGTATAGTTTAGGGTACCCCTTGGCGATTTTTGGCAGTACATGGATACCAATTTTGTGCAATGCTTTGACTCGTTATTTTGGCTTGCGAAGCGGCGATTTTTGCTACACAAAGCCAAAATAACAAGACAAACAATTGCACAAACTCGGTGTCCATGTACACATCGACTTATTTTCACTTAAAAAAAAAAAAAAAGGCATGAATTGCACAAAAATGGCATTGCGCACTCTTTTAACTTTATCCATGCACACGTCGACCTATTTTCACTTAAAAAAATCCCAGAATTGCACAAACTTGCATTGTGCACTCCCTTTACTTTGTCCATGTACACATCGATATATTTTCAGTCAAAGGAGCACCAAAGTCTACAATATAGGCAAACAAAAAAATACATAATCTCAATAAAATATATTTTAAACCAAACAATAAAATAACGTAAAAAAGAAAAAACACGTTATACATTTAAGACTACCAAAAGCAAATATTCACTTACCATGATTTTCAAGTTCACTTCGTACACCCAGAGCCACCTAAAAATCAAAATATCAATCATACTCAAATGACTTTTTTCAAACCAGGTACTCTTTCTGATCGAACGCTTCACCTAGTGACCATCTGAACCTTTCTTCCTACAAACCCATTCAAATCCATCTAAACGGTTTTAACACACACCAAAAAAACGCTTACAAAACATCCCATGATTCAAAATTTCCCAGAATCTTGCGTCAGATTACGTCACAATGGGGTTTCCATGACATTCAACTACTCAGGCTACCATAAATGAAACAACAACTTGGCGATAAATCAAACAATAATTTCGCCATAATACAAGGGGTACCTTAAAGTCTACTCTACCCAATGGTTGTTATTAACTAAACTGTTTTCGGTAAATCTTTACATTATGGTAACTTGGCGATTTTTTTCGCGAAACTTTGGCGACCAGCCCTGCTACAGCAACCTGCTAGTTTTCTTTTTTGGACGCCATTTTGTTTTAATGAAGTAAAGGCATTTTTTTTTTTTTTATTCAACGTTTTTTCCAACAATCTGCTAGCCAAATTACGCTTATGCTAGGACTTTTATGGAACAAAAGTGCTTAATCATGATGAAGATTACGTGCAAAATTGGGAGAAAGTGTAGAATGGCCCACTGCTTGCCGCATTTCTAAGAATTGCATATACACAGTATCCATGTAGACGTTGACCTATTTTCACTTAAAAAAACATCACAGAATTGCACAAAAATGGCATTGCACACACTCTTGACTTTATCCATGTACACATCGACCTATTTTCACTTAAAAAGTCAAAGAAAATTGAAAAAAATCCAATTCTTCTTACTCTTGTAAAAAGTGCCAAACATATAAGTGGGCAATTCTGCACTTTAGCAGCGAAATTGTTTCTAAGTGCTTATTAGCTAAAATCCCCATTGGAATTTTCTGGAAAATGTCACATTACATGTCTTATGATCTCTCATTTCTCTGAGACAAAATAATCTGTGAGTCGAGCTGTGTATTTCTCAGATTATTGCTAAAGTCCTAGCTAGTAACCTTTATCGCCTTACCAAAATGTCGCCAAACTACCTGTTACCATATTCCAAACATTAGCCCTGTTTTCATTTATGTATTCTTAATTATTTGTATTTTCATATTTAAAAGTAGTGTTTAGTCTAAAAAATGGATAACTAAGGAAAAGGTGTGGATTGCAAACAATTTTTTTTTTTAGTTTGAATAAGTAACGTCACCATTTTCATATGTGTTCTTTTTTATTGTTTTTTAAGTTCAGATACCTTTTTGTAGATAAACTGGGAAAATTTTTGTCGTAAACCCAGTTTTAAGATATCTGCTCACAAAGTATGCCTAAAATAGAAGGAACTGCTGTAAAATTTTGTTATTTTCCCATTTTCACAACCCTCAGTTTTTAAACACCAAATTCCAAGCACCAAGAAATTTGATAATTCGACAGTGACAGTCTTAATGTAAACTATTTTGATTTGGCAAAATGAAGCACACATGCTGTTTGTTCAGTCACTCAGGAGAAAATTTTCGACCGCTTACAGGAAAGCTAAGCGTAGATCAGCTTTAAATTAATTTTAATCTATATATTGCATTCCTGTAAAATGATTACGGCTTTGTGTGATGTTTTTTATTTTATGTAATTTCAATAATTTTTTTGGTAAAAATATATTTTAGGGTGTCCCTTGGCGATTTTTGCCGATTGGCCAGTAAGGCACAATATCAAGATAGTCTCTACACAAAACCAAAATAACAAGTCAAACATTTGCACAAATTCGGAATCCATGTACACATCAATCTATTTTTAAAAAAATTGGAGAATTGCACAAACTTGGCACTGAGCTCTCCTTTGATTTTGTACATGTACATATTGATCTATTTTCACTTTAAAAAAAAGTCAGGAGAATGATGACGTCATATAATGTTAAAACGAAGTTACTCATCACCAAAATTGAACAAAATTTGTACCCAATTGAAGCTCAATAAACTGCATTTTAAATCAAACAATGAAATTACATAAAAAAGGAAATACATGTTGTCACATCTACACACTACAAAAAGGAAATATTGACTTAGCATATTTAGAAATTTCTTGGCCTTCAGTCTGTGGCACACAAAATTCCTTCACAGCATCCAAAAATGTTCTAAAACTAGAATATGCATATTGCCGTCATCACAAAAATAAGAGTAAAATCCTCCATTGTGCAACAAAGCCATCTGAGCGATCTTTATGTTTGACCATACGCATTTCCTTCGTATGAACAGGACACTATAATGACTACTAAGTAAACTTTCATTTACACACCAGTCAATTAATGCTTTTCTTCCCTTTCGTTCCAAATCATACAGAAACTTCACATTAATCTCTTCACATATAGCCATTTACAGTGTACAGTACAAAATAAGCAAGATACTTCCTAACTGACATCCAATGCAAAAATAAGCCCTTACAAATATTTTCCCATCAGTCAAAATTCACTGCAATCACACAAGCAATCACGTCATAATAGGGTTTCCATAATATTCAACTACTCAGGTTACCATAAATGAAACAACAACTTGGCGATAATCCAAGGGGCATCCTAAAATATAGAATAACCATTTTTTTTTTTTTTTTTAATATTCGACATTATTTACTAGTTTATTTTCCACATAAAAGGCTAAAAAGGCCATGCGTTACTCTTTTTTTTAATATGTTAACAATTTTAGTTCACTGATACTGTGCAAAGTAAGAACCATAAGTAGATTGCCTTTTAATCTTTTTTTTAATGCTAACAATTTTTGATTTGCCGATAACTGAAGAAGATGCTGCATCACTCTTCTAAAAAAGAGGGTATTTTATCTCGCATTTGAATATGCAAAAAATAGCCATGAAATGAAAGGTACACTGCTCAAAAAAAAAAAAAAAAAAAAAAAAAAAAAAAAAAAAAAAAAAAAAGGGACTGTTCTATATCTCCTGTTCTACTGGGCCGATTGACAAAATTCAAATTGCGTTCTTCATGTCTCGAAAGCACGACTTAGGATATATAGTAGATTTATATATAGCACTATTCTAACATAGGTATTTTAACACAAAATCGGACTGCGAAATTTACGGAGAAATTCAACAATTTATGTTGGCGCATTTTATTCAGTTTGGGCCAAAATTAGTTCACTTGGCGAACTTCTT